CAGTTGGAAGAAGTGATTCCTGTGGACTATAGCAGCCAAGCATGTAGGTGAGAACCAAGGAGATGATTTAACTTGGTATTTCCTTGCTTTCACCCAGGAGGATATTGCAGGTGTGCATTTTTGAACAGGATGATTAAAAACTTCATTCCAAGGGAAGTCACAAAGGAAATCACAGAACAAGTCCCAATCCGCTTATTGATAACAGAAAGATATTCTGTTGGTAGGAGGTTCTTAACTGATGGGGGAGCAGAAAGATATGTTTACAGATGCTGCATGATCAGGGTTGCCTAGAGGGTAGAGTTGCATATCACAACATGAGACAGGGATAGAGGTAAAAGAGGGATCTAGAAGAGAAGCATGTCCATAAGGGTTACTGGTGAAATGTATGGGAAAGTCCACCACTTGCATAAAAGATTGAGAAGTTCAGGGTTTGGATGCCAGTGAGAGAGTGTTTAAGCCACCGAACACAAATATATTTGCAAACAGGTGTAGGGAGATGGCCATGTCTATATTATCAGAAATACTATTTAGTACACAACAGTCATGAGAGGAAGTGGAATGGTAAAGAAAGAAGAGATAGCTGACTGAGTTTAGTAGAGAGAGATGGAGATATATGTAAGAATGGTCTGGAGATTCATGAGAGAATCCCCTAGCCAGTAGGAAATTTTCAGATATAAACTCTCAGGCCAAGCATGTGGACATTAGTGTCCTTCCTAAAGAGATGGAGATAGCTAGGAATCAAGAAATCAGAAGAGGGGATTGAAGAGTTAAGATTAGTTTCAAAGAGAGTTAGGATATCCGGAGACTTTTTGGAGAGGAATGATTCCTTACTGTAGAAGTTGGTATGAATACCACAAATGTTGAAGAAAGAAAGGTTAAAGGATTTAGGTGTTTTGTTGAGCTGGTTTGGGTTTATATCTTTGGTTACTTATAGCCATGGTGTGTTATTTTAATAAGGAAAATAACTTTTATATTTAAATAGTGCTTTTTAAAATTATGTATCATTAAAAATTTTGTTGTTTATTTATGATAATGAAAAACATTTTTCTCCCTAAATTCATTACTGAAGTCTTCATTCACATAATAATGTTACTTAATATTTTGGTTTTATTCTAGGAATATTTAAAAACAGTAAAGATTGATGAAAAACAAATCTGTTTAAATATTTGTTAAACCTCAAAAATACATGCAAAAATAATTTAAATATTAAAAATTGTCTTCTGTATTAATTTATATTACTCTTTTTAATTATTTATTTTAATATTTATATATATTATTATTATATTTTTCTTTCTATTTTATTTTTGTTGTCCAAAAAATGACAATCAATTTCCTGGCTTTAACTGAGTTCAACATTAAATAATCCTCTTAAATAAACCAACTAACTTGTCAATTATTCTTATTGTAAATAAGCAGCAATCAAATTAACAAGGGTAATTTTTAAATGATACATAATTTAAGAAAAGCCCAATTTAGATATGACAGTTATCTCCCTTCAATTTTATATGTTTGGATTTTTGAGTGAAGTGAATCATTCGAAGAAGTGAAGATTCAATTTAATGTTTTTTGTGAAGCCAGTTTTGGACAAATGACATTCACTTTTATGAAGCAGACCTGCTAAGAGGAAATCCAAAGCCAATTTAGTTCAAATTTAAATACAAGGGACATAGCTCCTAAGAATAAAATTTAGCATGAGTGCTACAATTTTAAATAGGCAAGTGCTTAAAATGGATAAAAGTTGAATTTATAAAATAGCTTGTATGTCCTAAAATATTAGAATATTTTTGATTTTGTAAGAACAGATGCTAATCCATTAAAAAATGCTGTTTTGGCTAAGAATTAAATCACGGTGTTTCTATTTCCCAGATGAAAAAATTTTGAAGCACACAGTTAACAATTTTATTTAATCTACAGGGTGTGATCAGTAAATTGTCACCATTTTATATTTTTAATTTTGTGCATGTGTGTTGCTTGTTTTTGATTTTGTCGACTGCACAGTATAGTAGAGTCAGTTGGGCACTGTCTGTGAGAAAAAGAGCACCATAATTCAATTCATTCCACTAGAAATTATTTGGAAATGGCATGCTATATTGCTTGGTATTTGTGCCAAAAACTCCAATATGAACATTTCAGAGAGTTTGAGTGTCAATCTGAGGACAGTGCAGAGGATTCAGAAAGAGTTGGATGAGTCTACTAGTGATTATGAAGATACAGCAGCTTGGAAAACTCACTCTGATAAGAACTCCCAAATGTGTTGGTGAGGGCCTCAGACTCGACAGTGGTTTACATCAAGTGCCTTGAGGAGGTAGTGCTGCTCTGAGTCAAGAGGGTGGCTGCTGGAAGCCCCTATGTCTGGCAACAGGACTTTGCACCATGCCACACAAGCATGAGAACCCAGTCATGGCTGTCATCAATTTCCATAACCACATCACCCCTTACATCTGGCCATCTAACTCCCCAGACTGCAACCCCCTGATTATTATGTGTGAATTCAGTTAAGCGAGAGACTAACAAAACTCCATGTAACAACAAAGATGAACTGAAGGCAAGGATTATGGCAGCACTCACCAACTTAAACAAGGAGACCATGCAGAAGAGATGCAGATTCCAAAGTTGTCTGGAGGCTATGGTTGAAGCTAATGGTGATTTTATTGAATAAATGTATTCTATAATATTTCAAGATATTTTTGTGTAATTTTGGTAAATATATCTGTTAAAATGAGATGTCAGTGCTATTTTCCCTTTTGCATAATTTAGATGATAATTTATCCATCGCACTCTGTATCCTGACAGTATATACAAGCAAAGAATAATACTTAATTGCAAGGAATTCTTTTGTACAAAAATAGATTGTTTGGCAGTAAAAGAAAAAGTAAAAATAATTTAATATGTATACATGTGTGTAAGAATAGAGAATAAAAACTGAATTATATATAGTAAATACCAAAATGGCTATTTAAAGAAGAAAATTATCCAATAGGACATCAATACCTGTACATTTCAAGCTAAGTATAAAGACTGATATTGCTAGTTTAAAGCATTAAGAAATTATTGATTTTCATTTATCTTTTCAGTTAATCAATATTTGGTATTTAGTAGTGGTGGGTAAGAAGAAAAAAAATCTCTAGAAAGGTAAATCCATCTCCTCACAACAATATACGAACTACAAAATGATTTCTGAAATGTATACGAAATTTAGGTTTGCATTTTGAATTAGAATAAGAAAATGGATGTTAAAACATGTCAGATTTTGCCAAAATATTTTGTTGGTTTTTAAAACCAAATTGCTTTCTTTTATTCAGCTAAGAAAAAAAAAACAAAAAAAAAACTTTTTTTTTTTATTCCTCATTTTCTTAATAATATCAATGTTGCCAATATCATTTCCAGATAAAACCAATGATGATTTGAGGAATGGATTTCTCCATTTAAGAACTGTAATCAGTTATTGAAGAATAGAAGATTTGGTTAAAATTTGGAAACACTTCCACTCAAATAAATTAAACCAATAGATCGATGTGTACATTAACCAAACTCTGTGTTGAATTGTACAGATCTTTTTTTCCTTTCAGTAGTTTGGGCTTGGAAGATTTTAAAACTGCTAATTTTCTCTTTTCCAAAATAAAAGGTTGGAGGCAGAGCTAATAAAATCATTTTAATTTTTGCCACACTCTTTAAATTTTATAACACAAAAATAATTTAAAAAGACAAGTCAAAATTGGAAAAGTAAAAGTAAAACGTTCTTTGTTTTTTTTCCCAAAGAGAAAAAAACTTTATCTTGAATGAAGCTTTTCAAATTTCTTGTTAATGACTTTCAACAACACAAAATGAAGTGATGCTGGTTTTGTTTCAGTAACAAGTGGGTTTTACAGAGCAGGGGTGAAGTTGGGGGGGGTTGTCCTGCTTAGCTCCATGTCCAACTAGTTTCAGTTTGGTAGTGTCTTCTCCTAGACTAATTTACTGAACTGATAACTGTTACACTACTGGCACATTCAACCTTGTCTTTTCACTTCAGTATTTGATCTGGAAGATACTTAGCATGAGTAAATATTTAATTTTTGTGAATTAAACTAAATCTGAAAATTAAGACAATTAAAATTTCCACTGTATGAACATAATATTTTTCCAAATGTATTTATACTAGAATGTCATTTCTGTCATGAATCTTGAAAAGAATCGGTACAATTACCATTCGATAAGTCTTGACAAGATAGTATATTTGAAATGTCATGGTTTTCAATTTAATACTCTAAATGTCATATAATTCAGATAAGCCAACAATCTTTCCAAAAACATGTAGTCTCCCGTCACCTTCTCCATGGTTTTGAATTCAGTTGTTGTTCTCACTGCCTGGCTATTTAATTCATAGAAGAAGGGAGAAAAACTGGATTCATGTCTTTCCAAGAGCATTAGTATGAAATGAACACAACAGACTGAACTGGATTTGAACTTGGCTCATCAATTTCACTTTCTCTGGCAATAACCATTATGTTATGTGAACACACAAGTAGAAGATAATATAAATGCTTCAGCACTCATTACTAAGGTATGTAAAGAGTTCCATAAATATAAACCTTTCAAAAGGTTAATATGGAACCTAATTCCCATGAAAAAATGTTAAGAGATTCAACAAGATAGGTTTTCTCTGCAAAAACTTATCTAATGGTAATTATATAAATATTCAGAATAAAATACAAATTTACTGTTGCTTTTCTTTTTAAAATGTAGCAATTACTGCTTTCCAAATACATTTGCTATAACAGATTAAAAAATATATATATTAACACCTTCTATAATGTATTTTATAATATGTTATTTGATTCTTGCAAGTCTCCCATGGTTCCTGTTGGTTTGTCTAGTAGGAAGCAAAATACTCACCCTGAAGTGTTCGCTTTTTAATGCAGACTATCAGAGTTTTTACTCTGGGAACATTTTCCTGCTGAAATTTCACTTTCACTTTATTCCATCAACAAACTTTACACAAATACAAAAAGATTTCTTACCTTCCCACTTGCATCCATACATTTCCACGCGCATACATACTGTGCGTGGGTGTTCACTATAAGGAATGAAGCGAATACGCTTTGCAATGATGGGTGGTGATACACCACGTAACTCAGCTCGGTATGTGTTTTGGTTGCCAGGAAAGATCTGGAGAAAAACAAAAATAAAAATGTCAATCTCTACAAGTTAGGAAAGTGATTTTTAGTTAATCAAAATAACTTCCAACATAATCACTCATTGACATGTAATTGACTTGTGTGACTTTTGAGCACAAAAAGAGAAGATTTTGTATCAGGTGTTACATTGGTGACACTTGTTACCATATATTGACTAAAGGGGAAAAAAATAAATCTCAATATATATTTCTTTTTAATTTTATAAATATTTTCTTATAAATTGCGAGGAAGATAAATAAGTGTGTTTTATAAGTGAATGTAAAGCTGGATGATAAACTTGAGATTTATATTTTTATATCAGATTGACAAGTCAAGATGGTAAAAATGTTATGATATGACCAAAGTGCTTTGTTTGGCATACTTCACCTTCTACCCTGATACAATTAATTATTTCTATTCTCTCATAGTTTTATTGCTTTTGTTGTCACCACAATATTTCAGTTGATCCATTTTATAAACTTCTTCAGATATATGTGTTTTCAATTTTCTTTTTAAAAAAAGCATCACAAAAAAGTTCATTCACTCTAGTGGACCAATGTGATTATTCTTAAATTTTTTTTGTCAACTGATAAAAAATTCCAAGTAAACAGGTTCAATAAGTGTTTTTTCCTATTATAACAACCAGTCTAATTTTATCTCTTTTTGTAATCATTGGGAACCAGATAAAATAAGATCTTGATTCATAAACAATGTTGTTATTAGGAGCTCTTCTTTGTTTATATGTTAATTAATGTAGAGACAATTAAAAATTACAGATATGTTTGGAGGAGAAAAAAATTCTCTGCTGTCAAATGTTATTTTTTTAGAATTCTGCTCTTTGTGAATTTACAAAGTTAATGCATTTTTATTTTTTTAAATAAATTCTATTTTTTCTCTACTTTTAATCTTGAAGAAGTTAAACTTATAATACCCAGTTGGCATAAAATACTTATGCTTGATTATGTGGTTCATACAAAAACAAAACCAAAAACAACTCACTTTTAAAGTTTAAAAGTGTTAAAATGTGTTACAGAATGTTTGTAAATATTAGTACATACTTAGATTCAATCTATTTAGATACCTATTAGAAGATATCAGTAAGAAATCTATAATATGACTGCTCTTTAAAGGAATTTGCAAGAAATGCTAAAAAATGTAACTGGTTTGTACTGCACATTTGTTTTTTAAATGTGTAAATGTAAAATACCCTGATAAATATTTTGTAAAAGAATTGTGATTTCATGTGCTACAAGAAGCTCAATTTTAACTACAGAAGTATTATTTATACTGCAGGACCAGTATAAATATTAATACTATCAGCAATGCAAGGTAGGAAAAATTAACTTCTGATGGAACCGAAAAATTCATGGTCTCAATACCATTTTTTAAAATTTTTACTTTTTTTAAACTCCATCTCTAAATGACCTGAAATTTTTGTTCAAATTCACAAACCAGATTCATCGTGTTAAATTTATTCCCATGATTAATATATTATTAAAAACAATATTTCTTTTCTCCAAACATCATATTGCATATCTTAGACATTTTCAAAGTAGCAGACACATGCAAAAAACATACAGATAAAATTTATTGAATACAAAAAATACTAAAATTTTTTCAATGATTGAATCCATTTTAATCACCATGGGTATAAAAACTACAACAGAAAAAAGTCTTTATATAATATACATAAAAAATGACTTATTGATTTTCTCAGATGTTTTTAAAAATTTACTAAAAAAAGAAAAGATTCTCAAAGAATGTCTCAAGCATTTAAATCCCTTAATTAAACAATATGAGGTAAGATTAAAAAAAAAAGATCAAAACAGTAACCATAGAAAATCCAAGTGTCTGTGTGAATAGTTTGCATAGTGATCGTTTTATGAGATTACAAGATTGTAACAAGCATCCTTCAGGTGATGCTGAGTCCATCTGTTTAATACAAAGAGTTTAGTAAAAGATGCATGAATCCTGAATGCATGGTGTTAAAACATATGGAGTAACAAGTTCAAGTATTAAGTGCATTTCATGAGGCCAATTGACCTGTTTCTTGTACATAAATACATCATGAAAAAAGATATGTAAAAATGTAAAAACAAGAAATTGTGAAGGAAATTGAAATTATTGAAGAGAGAGAGGAGCAAAAATTGGTAAACAGAAATAAATTAATGATATAATTAAAAAAAAAAATCCTCTTTCCAGATAAAAAGCAAAACTTGATGCCAAAATTTAAATTTCCATAAATTTCCAATTCCTATTTCTTTTCATATTTATTGGTCTCTTAGAAATTAGTACAAAGGGCTTCTGAAATGTTCTCAGCATGACCAAGAAGCCTTTAAAAAAAGAAAAAGAGAAAAAAAAAAGATTTGGTTGGGGAAGTGAATCAAGCCAAGAAATATCTGGTAGCCCTTCATAATACTGCTTAAAGACAAATGTATATTTTTCTAAATGCAGTTTATGACAATTCTCCTAAATATAGAATTGTTTTGGCAAAAATTTAATTAAATGTACCTTGACTTGGAAATATAAGACAAAGATTATATAACATTATAAATTATCAGACCTGCAGACTAGTGTTATGTATACTTGCCTATATTTACAAATCATATATCTTGACATGTTTCTCACAGGAGAAACAGGACATGAGTACTTTTCTCAAAACTATCATAATATTCCTCTGCTAAAAGAAAGAAATTTGTTTTCATCTGTAGAAAAATCACTTATCAGATAATAAATGTAATTTACAAGGAGAGAGAGAGGGGGGTTCTAGGCATATAAGCAAAGGCTGCATTGTTTTTTTATACAATCAGTAAAGACAAATGGTAATTTTATCAAGGTTGAGCAAAGAGAAAAGAAAAGAATTTAGTCTCTTTTGTTCAGTAGCACAAACTAATTTAGAGGAAAGTAAATCAAAACAAACTTATTTTACTAGTTGAGAAATCTACAATTATATATTTTACACTATGTCAGATTTGGTTATGCAAGTTGATGTTTCCATAATGAAACTGGTATTAACCAACTAATGGTGGTAAAATTTCAGATATATTTATTTATATGATAAATATACAATGCAAATTTCCGTCTGAATTTCTGTGATAAAAGCCAGAGGACACAATGGCCGAACCATTGTGTTAATAACAACAATGATGATGATGGGGACAATACTGTATGTGCAAATAATATAATGTGAATTTCAGCTTATGGATATTATAAGCTGAAATTGTATTATTTACATTATTTTTAGGTGGACTACTGTGTGAGGTTATTATGTAACTCAAAGAGTGTTCATTGCAAATATATATCATGGCTTTGTTATTGATATTTATCTTTTAATTTCAGATATATTAAAATTGCTATGTGTTACAACCATGCATGGTTGACTGCTTGTTTTAAAGTATCTCTGTCTATTAGAGTGGTTAGCTAATCCCTGTTGCAGATGCCTGCTCAGGTGCATATATGTTCAAAATCTATGGAGCCAATTTATGATTTATACTGCAACTGAGCAGTACAGTCCTCTTAGTTACTGTTTCTAAGAGAGAGTGCATACTTTGGCATGATTACCAGTTTGAGTGTGACCATATGCTCAAACCCTTGATCAAAATGACTTGTAACTTTGTGTTAGCATCACTATCAACAGCTCCAAGCAGTTTTGTCTACCCAATTTCACTCATAAGGCTTAGTCCAACTCATGGTATAGTTTTCAGGTAGTTTCCAATGATGCCACAGGCTGGGGTCATCTCCTCAGGCAAATATCAAAAAGTACCTTCTTGACAAATTAACCACAATGGGATTTGAACATGGGTTGGAACTCTAACATTCTAACCACTAGGCCATGTGTTCACATTATGAGTTGTAAGAAAGATATAATCAAAAAAGAAAAAAAAAGATATTGTAAAGTTATATGTGATAGAAATACAACTTAAGAAATTGTGAATAAGTTGAACACAAATCATAAAACAACCAAATAAAGCAATTGGAAACACTCGCAAAGTAAGAATAAAGAAAAAATTGGTTTTAAGAATGTCACAAAAAATTAAAAAGAGTGATAAACAAAAAAAAAAATCAGATTGACTAGCATGAAAATACTTGAAGCTATTACCGTTAAGTAAACATCACAGAAAGAAGCATATAAGTTGCCAAAGACATACATGAAAATGAATTTCTAAATAGTATGAATGTAGCACTACATTGGATGAACTGGCTAAACTAGCATATTGGGTCCTTAATGGAAATAGTCAACCATCAACATCGATGGTGGTAGTGGTGAAGCAATGTTTTTAACTAATATTTCAAGTAGTAAAATTATAGGTTGATAATAGTGTCTATCACTAGTTTATGCTGCACTTTGCATAAGGAAAACTGAAACCCTCAAAAGTTGATCAATATTTTTAATAATACCACACATTAATGTAGTTACATTTTCATGTGCCAATAATTGCTCATTTTTGTTATCTCTTATTACCGCCATCTTCCTAAAAAAAAATGTACAAAAACAAATCCTTATTTAATAAAGAGAATAACAAATATTTGTTTTTGAATTTGTTTTAATTATTGATTACATATATATATATATATATATATATATATATATATATATATATATATATATATTGCTTTATGAATTTAAACATAGAAAATACATTGATTCTTGGAATTATTACTGAAGGAGAAAACATTATTTCTTGTATGGTTTCTATAAATATCACTTTTCTGATTTAAAAACAAAAAAAATCAAATGGGTTATCTCCTTATGCATAGCAATTGTTCTTGATTAATACTTAATTATTAATGTTGCCAGTGGTAGTTTCTTTATTAAAGATTTTCTTCTCTGAGCAAATTTAATTTTTTATCAAACTTACATTTTCTATATCATCGGAATAATTCTTCAAATACAAACTTTCATATCATTATTTGGTGGCTTTTAAGAAAATATTTTTGTTCTTAAAATGAACAGAAAAATATGTTGCTATTCTTTATTCTGAATAACTACCC